ATTATTACAGATGAGTCAAGGCGACTCAAAGGCACCCTTCTTGAAAACCGTTTTCCAGTGCGCTTCGTTGATACCTATTTAAAGCCCAACAACGCTGGTTGACTTGCCGAACAACCTCCACGTGGTGCCAGCTGGATTGTTCGGGATTTTCCCGTTCCTGCGTATCGTTCGGCTGCAGTGTTCTAGGAGGAGGGGTTTTCACCTGGCAAGCGTGCTCCCTATAAAAAGGCACAAATGTCCGGTTAACAACACTGTGACTTGGCGGACGTGACTCACCACTAAATAAAATCACTGCTCTTTGCTTCATCCCAGCGAACCACTGTATTCCAGCAACGTTATGCTGTAGTTCTGAGTAGCACTGGGCCCCTGTTCGACAAAAGAAACGAACGACAGGCGTATGAACTGAGTAAGCAGTCACCGGCTCCCAATGGGCAGGATTCCCTGAATTCGCTTTGCTGCCTTGCGGGCAGGCTATTCAGACAAAGGCTCGGGGTGGTGTCCCCTAACTCAGCACCTAACTTCGGCTTAGGAAACAGGGTAGTACTTCGCCCTCTGAAAAACGCATAAATTTGATGTTTTGTGTTGTTTTTTTTTTGATTATTTCTGTACCTTCTATTGAGTCCCATGGATTCTGATGGCTTTATGTCTATTCGTATACTATTGCATATCTATAAATATATAAATATATGTATATATACCGAAGGACCCGATGCGGATCCTACAATCGGCGGGGAAGGAATAGCTGTTCCTCAAGATCCCCTTTAGGAGTGTAAAGCAACTCTAATATAAACACTATAATTGGTGCAAGCTTGTGGAAAGACCTACAACGCGGCCCACCTCAACGTCATTTATACGAGCGAATCGCTAGTTGGTCAACGGTCAATTGTCCCCAGATTCAGATACAAAGCATCTGATCAACTTCAATCAATAATGATTTACCGGCTCACCTGCTCTTGGGAGTACGACCAAGCTATTAAAAAAACCAATCAAATCGCTTAGCAACCGAATGAGCAGAAATAATTTTAGTGCCATAAAAAACTGCTTGATCAGTACAGGGAACATTTTAAGCAAGCGTAGTGTCTTCGGACTTATATCTGAGGTGCTATCCCATTGAAAACGGACAACGAGCAGCTAGGTTACTAGCTATCGCTGGTGCGGTCAGCAGACGATTAACAAAATCTAGCTTTCGCACCCAAAACAAGCTTTCAGCTTATACACCAGAAAAGAAGTTAGTTGTTCTGCTGAGGTTTTGGTCGCCTAGAAATTGTAGCAAAAAATAAAATAAAAGTAAGTGATCTTACATTTTTGTTTCCTTTAGATACGCCGAATAACTAAAGGTGGTTTCATCAAAGATTTCACAGACCCCTAATGATAAATGAGCAAGAATTACGGAGATCCTTTACTGAGCTTTCACCCAACAGCAGCTCAAAATCACCATTGAGAATCTATCCCCAAATTTAACCCTCCTAGCTTTCCTTATAAAATTACAAGCAAACGGATTTAGCTGCTTTAATACATGCTCCACAACTCTACGTTCGATGCAACAGCGACGCCTGCATTTCCAATTACATTCACACTAACAGTTTTGAGAGGCGAAATCTCTATCTTCTGTGGGAACGTGAAGTAATTGACGGTACCAAATCGTTAACAGATAAGATTATTAATTGTTAATACTTCACATACTTCACCATCCTATCATTCTATCCTAACAATTTCGAAGCTGACATCCGCTGCTTTTGAGAAACGAGGCAAAAGCTAGCCTACTCACTCCCATCAAATGCGTATACAACACTGAGTACCACCATTTCAGACATGGAGCATTTGTGAAACTTCTTGATGCATCGAACGAAGCTCAGGTGAATGTAGTTCGATCATGACGTTCGCCGCCAAACCTATGTTTCCTAAATATAACGACAGGTTGCTTTCTTCGCCCGGTGTCGATCTAGCGTTCGATCCCACTGTGAATCACATCCAACTTTTGACTAACAAACAAAAAATTTTGCAATCGCTAGTAGCAATCAAAATTACTATTTTAATTGACTTTCATGAACTAGCTAAAAGTAGTAGAATGAAACCAAAACGGGTAAAATAGCTTTTGCATACAATATCCAGTAGATTGGTAATAGAATAAAATGGAATGCAAATATTGCGTAAGTGAACCAAATAAAATACGCGTGGGTAATTGCGTAAAGACGGGTGGTTATGTAAGTGAGATAGAACAAGGAAATTCCAATATATAATAGTAATAGTTAATACTCATAACAAGTAACAAGCAGATTTCACACCCGTCTGCACCAATTTACTTGCGTCACTGTGCGTCGTTAATCCAAAGTAGCTAGTTAGCCAGAATAATTTCAGAATATCCGTTAAAGTAACCAAGTGTAGAACCATTGATTCGTTACCCAATCGTTCTTTTGAAAGTACCTATGGTAGAGACACAGACAACTGAATTTGGAAGGGCGTTCCAGGGTTGGCGGACCTGGAGGGTGAAGAAACATCGTAGCCTAAGAATCACATGCTCGAGTGAACATGGAGCACAATTCGTTGGAAACCCATAACGAAGACCTAAGGTAGTAAAACAGTTTTGAAAAATTTGTATACGTCAAAGTAAAATCGTTAGATCAGACTGGAAGTACTACAACAAACGGATCGACAAGCCACCTTGTGACTACATTTATTGGCTTCACAAAGAAAGTTAATCGAAATTGGCTGTTCATCAATTTCTGAAATCTTAGAACGACGCCAGAATTAGACTGCCTGGCGTAGGAAGATAAAATCAATTATTGCTCTTTAAGTTCGAAACAATGCGTGTCGCTGCATTTCTCTTCAATTATCAAATGAACGCGAAACAAAGCATTATCGAACAGGCGCATAACGGTCACGGAAAGTAGGTATCGGTTGATAAAGTAAATACCTATTTTAGATGAATTCTGATTTGGACTGACGGAGTGAGCACGTTAAATATTATCCAGTGCATGAATATATAGGAATGTGTCAAGAACGATGGAAGATGAATTTCCATGATTAAATTGGAATTAGTTTAATAGATTTATAGGGAAAGGTTGATCAAGCGTTCATTCAATTTTAGTTGTGTCAACCAGAATTGCCGTTGAACATTAATATTGATCTGGAAATGTTTGCATTTCACTTAATGCAAGAAGTTTAGCAGGAGCATGCGTGTAAACCTTAGGATTAAGTAACAAGAAGGAAAAAGGAGGAGACACCATACTCGAACTAGCAACAAAATTGAGTAGCATAAAATGAGGGGAACTTAGTGTTTACTTACCTCATCATGTAAGCATACCATGGACGCTAGCTTCATCAAATTACTTTCACAAGTTGAAAGAGTTGCTTTTGATGGGTACATTGTTCATTTCAACATCATTTGTAATAAGTTTTATTTCAAGGTGTGAGTGATAAATATGTGCAAATAACGGAACATATAGCTGAAAGATTGTACTATAATCATCGCTGTTTTTACACGCAATATTTCTGCTACACCGGTGCGGAACTCGTTGGACCAAGGTCCCTCAGGCGTTCTGCAACTGATATGGCAATATGGAAAGAGGTTAAATTTGGAACCAGTTCCTTCCCATCAGCTGATGTACAAATCCGATTGTATATCGAAACTGCATGTCAGTATATTAGATTCACCTAGAATCTTGCACGTAACGGTTCGTTATGAAATGAAAGCATGCAATAAACTCAAAAGAATAACTGTGTCAAGAGATTTTATGCTGGTACATCGGATAAAAGGCTCAATTTTCTAACAGTTGACTCCGATGGACATACCACATTCCCCTCAACTTACTGGAATATTAAAAGGAACTACGCGAATGTCCCGAACGTCATCTGCGGTTCTTGCTCCAAAATAGAACACTAAACTACTTGATTGGAGGCAATAGTTGTGTGAATGCATTGCGACACACCGTCTCAATGTGGATTGTAATTCGCATCCAATTGCAGGTTGGTCAAATCAGTCGTTGTAACCGTAGCTAACATTGCCCATGTTCATCTAAAATGCAACGGTTATTGGTCAACAGCAGCTACAAGGGACCGCTATGGAACTCGCTAAGATGAGCTGGAAGTGAACAGAGCACTGATGATAATTGTGCGTTTCTTGTGGCACCTTGAAAACGTACAAACGAATGCTGGCCATTGAAGAAAGCATGAGCCGGCTTCAACTCAACTGCCTCCCATCCAATTTCAACACGGAGTACAATGTATTTCTTGGGTGTATGTGAGGCCATTCTATTACCTTAGTAAATGCCGGTGAGTAAAATTTGCTTACAATCACAACTACAAGATAATGGGGATTGCGCTGCCACTAGTTATCATGACAAGTATTGGGAAGAGTGAGTTTGCCGTGGTTTATGAACTTCTGTCTTCTATGACTTACTGAATCTATTTAGACGGCATGTATCATGAGTGTAAGTGCCACTGTTTTAATGGGTGCTGCAGGCATTGCACCAATTTAAAGAAGGCGACTGTTTTGTCAGTAGCCATCAATCGGTGGTGCGCAATTAGTTCCGTGCAAGCAATCATGGACAGGAACGGCAAGCGAGAGCACTGTCTGTGCACACACTCAAGCACACGTTTGTGTCAAGATATGTATGTCACAACAGATGATACTTGCTCACTCTGGGGTCTGACTATGGCCATCAGCGAAGTGTCAGAGGACGGTGGCCGGAAACAACACGTTTTTATCTGATGCCCTCTCGTATTCGGATGAATCATCCGAAAACACCATATGAAACGTGATTATTAGACTTGGTGATCCAGCCTCAACTTGTGCCACAAACCACTCCTGTCAGAGAGACCAAGCACAACCGATTGTCATCGGGTAATATATAAGATGGATTCACAAGAAAGACATTGTATTTGCATCTCAAGATGAGTCGGGTGAGTTTTACTTCGTTCTGCGTAAAACTACAGAAGCTTTGAACTTTGAGCAAAACCCTTCATAAGCATCATTTGTTTTGTTGTCCTTCAGCCGGCTGCATCCCACACTCAAATAATTGCCATCGTAGTCCTGGCTTTTTCGTGGATGGAACCATCGGAAGAACTGAAAGTTAAAGGATGTCTGACGATGGTCTGGGAGATCGTGGATCACTGCTACATTGGACCTAAGATGTCTAAAAACTGTTCAAAGTAACATCATATTAACACAATTCTTCTGCTTGATAACACATTATGTTCAATTTGTCTATCAACACATTGGTTATCCTTTCTATCCTCTGACTCGAATGATGAACCAAAATGCGTTCAGATTTTACAATGTAGCTTGTTTACTCAAGTAAACGGCCAAATGCCTTGCTTGGGCATCTGACGTGGCACTGATATGAACATGAAGAAAACGCGTAGAAAGAAGTCGTGATGTCCTGATATAACATTAAATATTACATTACATGGTAGATTAGTGTAGCTTCAATTTGTGCATCTTTATTCCTATGATGTTACAATCAGTCAAGATGAATGTTCGACGGGTTCCATTATGCGACCGATCTGTGTGTCTTTGACCGTCTCAATCCGTGTGCTTCCTCAAGTCCTCAATAGCACGTTGGCAAGTAACCGTGAACAGCGAAATTCTGTGGAATATTTCGACGCATACACGTTCACATTGTGCACCTTATCTTCTCCATCCGAGAACGAACAGTCTAACATGTGGTGATCTGATAGTTCCTACACACTGATACCTATTTAAACGCGACCCGTTTAGTGGAAGCCTGTACTGGTGTCTAAGGTCAACACGAAATGTCAGTGGCCGATAAACAAGTGTCAGGTGATGGGCATGACAGGTTTTGCACTAGATTAGCCATAAAATATGCTCATATCAATCCAGGACGCATCTGCCATTGTCAACGCAACGGAATTTGGTGGATCCCTCTTTGTGTGTATTTTATTCTGCGTTGATGTGTAGACACCACCCGATGAGCTAACAAATGGTGCTCGTTTCGTGTATGAAAAGACACATGTAATGCTTGGAAGATACAGTTGAGATGAGGAAAGTTCGAATCAAGATGTAGTGGGTACATTCCTCTTTCATTTGCTGTGCACCTTCGAACTCTGACTCATTTAGCTAGACAATCAACAACCAGCCAGCTATTCGACCAAATCAGTGGGTTCCAATCACCTCCTACGTTTTCTCAGTCGAATAAAATTAAATGATAGCGAAAGCTTCGCGACACATGAGGTGAGGTTTAAATCCCGCAACTGCATGATCACGGAGGTATGCTCGTCGGCTTATCGTATCAAGTTCCATTTGAATCTGAACCGCGGTCTACTAACAATAGATCAATCTTACACTTCCTGTATACATATTATTCTGAATGGCTAAGGCATTACGTTGATACCTGATAAACAGCGGTAGGTAGTTTAGTGAAGTTGGTTCTATTTCAGATGCTAAGAATTGGATATCTCTGATAGAGGGAAATAAGCTCAATGAGAAAAGTCTCCGATTTACACATCTGTTTAATTATTGTTTAATTATCAGTGACCGCAATACTTAACAAGACTCCTCAAATTCCAAGGGACCATAACACTCACCATTTACACTAACTGTTTTTTTGAAAAATATATAGCATCCATGGATTGTTATATTATATCAGTGTCTCATATGGTTTTATTAAAACAGAAAGAAAGGTCTTAAGGATTTGCTGAAACCGAAGAAACGGAAGAAAAACAAAGATAGCGCCAAACTCCTCAATATGTTGGATGGTTTGTGCAACCAGTGTAAGGGGTGCAAGAAAAATGCCAAATCCTGTGCAATCACACGGCTCAGCGTTGGGTCCCTCAAGCAGTGTGACTTGGCCCAGCAATTGTTGAAAGGCCTGAAAAAAAGCAAATGAGCAGGAAACACGCTGATTTACTTCATATTTCCTTCTTCGCATTTTGTATTCTGTGCTATTTATTGTCTGTGTTGATTTACTGTGCGAATATATTTAACAAGATATTTGTGGCTCATTTCTACTATTTTCATGTGCAATCTATAGTGACGATGAGATGACCTGAATTGACGTCCCAACTTGTCGGAATGTTTGGAGAGCGGTATGTTGTGGCACAGATAATCCGTTATGTTCGAATTTGTACCATGTCACTTGAGAGATTTCAACGATAGTAAATGCGATAGCTGATTGTAAGTTTCTTTGGTCATACGGAGTTAGTGTCTCGAGTACCAAGCTTATCCATATTTTGAGACTCGCGGAAAACTTTATCCCAGTCTAGTGATGTGCGCTTACAATACAGTGAATGACACTTTCAGAATGTTCTTTTCCACTTGTTCTTCAGTTGGCCAGTATTGTCCTCTTTAGGATTTCTTTTCGTTGCTCTCAAGGCCCAATGTTTTGAAAATTTGTCTAGCCAAACGATTACGTCACACCCGGATGGAGCGAAACACATTGGGACCCGCTGTATCTACAAATGCTTACAATACCATGGAAGTTTCTGTGTAGCTGATATTACGCCCTGGTACAAACCGCTAGTTTCTATTCATATTACTGTAGTGTGTGTTGGACAGACATACACCAGTGGCATGTGGGATGCGATTGCTTCAAAGGACAACGGCTCTAAAACGTGGGGTCGAGTCATGTGGCAAGATACAGAGGGCCACCTGTGCTTAACGGACCAAGTGGCACTGTCCTTAAACATCAACAGCGTTAATTTCGGTCGGTGAGTCGTGACCCACGTATTGACAATGAATGGAACGTATTTAAGATATAGAGTTTGAAGATCTGCGCATGTGGGCTTATGAAATGACCAAAATGTCCTTAACATAGAAGCAAAGTTAACGTCCTAGTCTCACCACACAGCCACAAACAACCGGTAATCCACTCTTTGCGCCTAGCACCGTCACGAGGATGGTGCACCTTGTCCCCTCCAGCGACGACCAAGTGTCACCTGGAGTCAGTATGGATAAGGTAGTGTGTAGCAGACAGGTAGGCTCCTTGTCAACATTAACATCAAGCTACAATAGTAGCAAGCAAATCAACGGTATAGCACCGAACTTACCAAAGCAGGTTGTGTAAACGCAAGTGCTGTCAGTAAAACAAGTGGTGGTTTTGGAGGTTAAACCAACGGTGAAATCCAATGTTGCGAAATAATGGAAGAAGGCTGTTTCAGGTACTCTAGAAGGGACTTCTTCTAGAAGACTGAAGAATGGAAGCAATGGAGGAAGCTGTTAGTGGGGGAGAAATGTTAGGTAAGGATGGGTGCGAATAGTAGCATTGGCTTGAACACGGGCTTCCAAGACGGGGTATGTAGCAGAGTTCGCTGGGTCCAGTCATTTGTTAGTTATTATTCATGATGATCATGTGTACCGGAGTGCATCATCAGTGCGCAGTCGCGGAAGACTCGTCGGACTGCAAAACTCCTGGCTAGTCCAGAAGAAATGGCTGACAATACTTGTCCTCCGCAGCTAACCCTACGATTTCCTTGAGAATTTGTCACTCCCCCTAACATTCCAGTCCACAATCCTAGTCCCACGGAGAAATTCGGACGTCCTCGTCCGCAACGCGCAGCCCGGCGTTTGGGGACAATTCCGTTCACGGCCGTCCGTGTTCGAGGGTGGCTCTCTGATCTTTCGGTCCGGAAGGGGGCCATCAGCAGTCTGGGGAGACTTCTAGAGGTTGCTTTCAGCTGGTTGGCAAGTCACTTGAGGGTTGCTTTGCAGTTTCGGTGGCTTAGTTTCAGGAAGGTATAGCTCAGTGCGTTGGGCAGAGGTCGGATTAATTGGTTTTACGCATGAGCATGCACATAGCATGCATGATAAACAGCAAATACTTTTTTAAGATTTTCAAAATTTCATGAGCATTTTTCCAGCTTTCAAAGCGTTTGTGGATGGGACACACGATTACCACTTAAGGCAAACAATGCAAGTAAATGGAAACACCTCAGCTCATGGGGCGTAATACATAAAAGAAAATAGGACACAAATGCACCAGTTGCATGCCAGCTGAGCTACCAGCAACTGATGGACATTCTTTCGGAAAGCTACTAGCTGGCTACTAGGCAATAAGAAAAATTATGATGTAAAGTTATCTTGCTCTACGAAAGGAGTTGGTGGTTGGAGGGGGTGGCCAAATGTGATGTGGAGGGACAGAAACTCATAGCAGGAACGCCATTAAGGTCTCCTCCTAGCCATGTCAGCAAATGCATCAAGCCAAAGCTGCTCATTGTCTTTTGGAAACCGACCAGATAGCCGTGAAACTCCAAACGAGGCCAGATCCGAAGTGAGGGCCTTCATTCCTATCAACCATGACGTCGTTTGCGAAACACACTTCCATATATCTGTCCCTTTTTGGCTGCTGATCCAAAGGCCAAGTTACGTAACCGTGCAGTAAGGGCGAATGTACAGCCGCATTGTACACTCTACCCTACACTTCGACAGTGATGTCGCGCCGACGCCATATGTGACGATGACTAGCAGAAGCACTTGCGCTTTCGCTTCATAGTTCGTGAACTCATCTTCGATCACAGGGGCACTGATACAACTACACATGTAGTTGAATTTCAGAAAGACTTCTAGCTGATTCCCACCAACGGTCAGCGCAGTAGATGATCCCTGTCAAACTCAAGAGAAAACTTTGCAATTTGATGGTGCAAAACAAAGCCCGTAGCGGCTGACAGCCAGTGATAATCTGTCCAGTGCAGCTTGGCACGTCTGGGAGTTGTCACAGATGAGGGCAATATCGTCCGCATACTCCAAATCAAGAACTCGTTCGCCTGGCAGTTGCTCCACACCTTCTAAGTCATGTCCTGCAAATGCAATCTCCATGACTTCTTCAATAGCGAAATTGAAGAGGAAAGGTTAATACGGGTATCCTTACCTCACATCGCTGAAGATTTTAATGGTCGGCGACAGCTTGCCTCAAGCCCTCACTCTGCCCATGCTACGCGCGTATAATGCTCGGATAACATTAACATATTTCTCGGTCAAACCTATTCTGAGTAGACAGTTCCAAAGTGCACATCCATCAACCGAATCGAAGGCACCTTTGATGTGGAGGCACACGAATATTGTGGGCCGCCAATATGTGTGACGGTGCAACATCAATTGACGCAAGGTGAAGATGTGGTCGATGCAGCTACCACCTTGACGAAACCCGGCTTGCTCCTCATGAATCTGGCTTTCACGTGCGCCGGTCAGTCTGAGAAGGATTACAGTAGCAAGTAATTTGGAGGCGATAAGGATCAGACTGCTTCCTCCATGGTTGGCGTATCCCAAGCGTGAGCCTCCTTTAAAAATGGGAACAATAACGGAGCGGCTGCAGTCGGTAGGGACAGCTTCGTGCTCTCATCGTTTCACTATTAACTCGTTTAAAGCATTAACAAACGCAGGGCCCGCAAGTTTGAAGTGGAGTGGTGAAGATCAGCTGGTCCCGCGGCTTTGTTCTATTTCAACGGTCCAATCTCAAGTTTGACTACTGGGTGAGAGGGCGGATCCAAGTTGACAGCCCAAGGAGCAGGATGATCACTGGCCGGTGAGGAATCAAACAATTCCGACCGATTGAATTGCTCTTTAAAATGCCCAGCCCAGCACTGCAAACGTTTTGACAAATTGTCGATAGGCTGTCCATTCTCGTCACAAATTGTTCCACTGGCACAAGGTCCCTTACTGCTCTTTTCCCGTATCAGACGGACTAAATTTCGATGGTTACCAAGGACAGCGGGTGCTTTCATCTCTGAAGCACGAAGACACCACCAGAATTCGCGCGCTCTTTTCACGCTAGCACGGAGTTTTATCCGGAGCTTTCTGCGAGTTTCATTACGTTTGCTGCCAGCCTGAATATGCCGGTGAGCATGCATAAGTTTCAGACATCTAGAAGAGACCCGATGTCCCTGTTGGCCATCCCACGTATCACATAAGGATTTGCCCGCTGCTAGTAAGCACTGGTGAACATACGACCAGTGACCTTCAATTGTCTCCACTGAGCGCTTACTCATCTCGCATGTCAGCGTACTTTGATAGCCATTCAGAACAGCTGGTTTCATCAGTTGGATGGTGTCAATGCGCTCAAAGCGTCGTCGTGGGCGTCCGCCAAATTTCATCCGCAGGTCAGCATATACAAGTGCATATTCAGTGTCCACACATGCTCCAAATTGAGCGACAACTCTGGATGCAGCCTCTCCAGCGGTAACTGATTGCAAAATGGTCGATTGGCGTCGAATGCTGGTTCGAGGCTGGTGGGCGTCAAGTCACCCTCCGGCGGGTGTTGTGTCGGAAGTTAGTGCACGCAAGAAATAAGTGGATACCTTCACACACATGAAGTAACCGCTCACTGTTATCATTACGGGAGCCTTCACCCTGCTGACCGCCCAGATGCATTTCAGCAACGGACAATTTTCCAACTTGTGCGTTCAGATCGCGCGCCAGCAGAACAGTGTCCGTGCTTCTTCTGTGGCGTTGAGCTCGGTCAGTTGGCGGTGGAGGTTGTCTATTAGCGAATCATCGATATATTATGTGGCCGCGTAGGCAGCGATGATGAATAGACACCTATTAGTCCCGCGCAACTTCCAAGCTTTGTATGAACTAGCCAATCGGGGCGCAGACATGCGGCCACCGACTGGGATCCAATCAACCAGAGCAGCTTCAGCCCGGGAACTTAGGGCAACGTCGATACCAGATTGGTCGGTGCCCGAACCGCATCCTCACCGGATAGGCGCAATGAGAATGTGTTGTTGGTGTCACCTTAAGGGGATCGCAGAGTGAGTACAGAACTCGAGTCTTTCAGGCGCGTCTTCGCTAAACAGCAGATACCGATGGAGAGGGCCTCTATATTTCGGGCAAGTGCTGCCTGTTGACCGATTTGTGGTAATGTGCGTACATTAAGGCATATCAGTCTGAAGGAGG